ATGCCCCTGGCCGGCCTGAACCAAATCCACAGACGGACTGTGGGAGCCTCACGCTGCCTGGATCCCCTCCGGACACAGAGCAACTTCACACTTCTGGCAGCTGCTCCATGAACTGTGTGCTGGTCCTCAAGCTCTTGGAGGGGGACGGCAGCTAGGCCCACAGGGGCTGGGGTCCCTGGCTCTGACCTTGGCGGCAGGGGAGCCGCGCAGGCCCCACCTCCAGTGCCCAGCAGAAGCACGTGGAAACCTCAAGGAGGCAGGGATCTGCACTGCAGCCCTCAGTTGTCCCACAAGTGATTTTCCAAACACAACAAGCCACGACACTGGACTGCAGGAGCCAGCAGAAACACACTGAACCCGACGGAGACGCACCCTGACGCTTCAGAGCCTGGAGGTGCCGGGTGCAGGGCAAGATGGGGCCCTGGAAATGGCAGATGCCACCGAGTGGATGGGGGAGAGCGCTAAGCAGGCCTGATAGGACTAAAGTAAGGACCAAAGGAGCAGAGTGGACACCCTGGAGGAGCCCTGAGGATGGAGGGCGGTGGGGGAGCCAAGCAGACTGGGGCATGGAGGACAGAGGCAGGGACCACGGAGGTGAGAGGGCAGAGAGGGGTGGTGGGAAGCCTGACCCCGCGTGTCATTGCAAGCCCAGGGCCCCCACCAAGGCACAGCGGCACTCTGAACAGGGTGGCTGCGAGGCGGTGCAAGGACGGCCTCCGGCCCATTTAGGAGAGCGCTCCCACTCTCAAGGGGCGCGTGATGGGCTTTCAGGGTGACGGGTCACGGAGCCTGCGCTTTACCTCCAGACGGCCTGGGACACGCATGCCGGCAGAGCTCGGCCGGGTGTGGCTCAGGGGTAAGAGCTGCTGAGCCCAGGCCATGGGCTCAGGTTTGCTCTTTTCGTGTCCTGGGGAGACAGAGCAGACACAGTCGACCCTACAGTGCGTGGAGCTCGAGGGCTCTGAGAAGTAAACGGTAGCAGGTGGACCGTGGTGAAAGCCAGAACTGGAAGCACCACCGAACGAGCGGTGGGTCTCAGGATCTTCCTCCGTATCCCCAGCCTCGACTGAAGCCAGCCTCAAGGCCAGAATGGGGTGGGGACCTGGACGGAGAAAGCTCCGGGAAGCCCTCTAGTTGTGGCTCAGGGGGCAGGGAAGAAACAGGTGTCCTGATGCTCACGGGGATTGAGGGAGCCTCGGGCAGAGGGTGGGCTGGGGTGACCCTCCTGTCCACACACCTGCCCCAGCTGCAGTGGACACACAGGCTCACAAGTGCCTGCAGTGGGGAGACCTCCTCTCCTGTGGGAGGAGACGTGGTCCCTAGACGATCTTCCCCTCTTGCCTGAGGGGAAGCTGTGCGTGTGTGCAAAGTCTACACGTAGAGCTACAGGACAGTCCCCCACGGGCCACCGGGTAGTGCTCACCCAGGGCGATCCACGTGACACTGTGAAGGCTTTGAAAACAGAACCGACGCTGAAACCACACCCTCCAGGAGGCTGGGTTCATCGCGTTCTGAGACAAAAATATCAACATTCTCAGTGGGATTTTTAGAAGACCAGGTATTCACGAAGTAATATTTGATTGTGCAAGACACAATCCAAAACTATTCTGCATATGAAGAACCAGGAGAGGGACCCCCTGGGGGGCTCAGCGGTTGAGCATCTGCCTTGGGCTCAGGCCGTGATCCCAGGGTCCTGGGATCGAGTCCCACGTCGGGCTCCTGCATGGAGCCTGCTTCTCCCTCTGCCTGTGTCTGCCTCTCTCTGTGTGTCTCTTGTGAATAAATAAATAAAATCTTTAAAAGCAGAAGAAGAACAACAACAACCAGGAGAATCCAACCCACAAGGGAAAATAAATCTAGTGCCAACATGACAAATCCTCCACAAAATATTAGCAAATAGAATCGATCAACATTAAAAAAAAAAAAAAAAAAAACTACAACCACCTGAAGGGTGCCCCAGGAATGCAAGGCTGGTTCAACCCAGGAAAACAAATCAGTGTCATCCACCATGCTAACAGTCTGAAGAAGAAAGCCGGTGATGGTATCAGTTGATGCAGGGAAAGCATTTGACGGAATCAGCATCCACCCATGAGGAGCACTCTGAGCAAACAAGAAACAGAAGGGACTTACTGTCATAAAGGGCACCTACAGAAAGAAGCAACAACAACAAAAACCCTACAGTTGACATAACACTGAAGGACTGATGCTTCGCCTTAGTCATGTATGAATTAATGAGGACGACAGTCCTAGGTAACTTTACAGTAGAGGAATCTGGCAGGTGCCATTCTGACCGAGTAATAAAAATTAGAGGCACCGACAGTGGGGCAGATGGGCCTCGCGGGCTTCCTGGCGTGAGGCGCCGAGAAGGCACAGCATCCCGTGTGTAACATCCGTGCCCACCGGTCGGGGGACACGATGGAGGTGCATTCTACAGATTGGTCGTGAAAGTCAGGAACAGACAGAGGAACATTCCAGATGGAAGAGGACTCAGGAGAGGTGGCAGCCAAATGCACACACGAGCCAGGCCTGGTTAGGGACCCATGAAGGACGTCATAGGGCAATGGAGAGGTTTGCGTGGCATCTGCCCGTTAGATGGGGACGCTGGGGGCGCCGGGGTGGCTCAGCGGTTGAGCGTTTGTCTTCAACTCAGCTCCTGACCCTGGGGTCCTGGGATCGAGTCCCACGTCGGGCTCCCTGCATGGGGCCTGCTTCTCCCTCTGCCTGTGTCTCTGCCTCTCTCTCGTTGTGTCTATCATGAATAAATAAAATCTTTAAAAAAGAAAAGAAAGTGAAGGGGCAGCCCCGGTGGCGCAGCGGTTTAGCGCCGCCTGCAGCCTGGGGTGTGATCCTGGAGACCCAGGATCGAGTCCCACGTCGAGCTCCCTGTGTGGAGCCTGCTTCTCCCTCTCCCTCTGCCTGTGTCTCTGCCTCTCTCTCTGTGTCTATGAATAAATAAATAAAAATCTTTAAAAAAAAGAAAAAGAAAAGAAAGTGAAATTTCTGTGTATAAAACATGCATATGGGGCACCTGGGTGGCTCAGTTGGTTAAGCATCTGCCTTCAGCTCAGGTCCTGATCTCGGGGTCCTGGGATCGAGCCCCATGTCGGGCTCCCTGCTCAGGGGGGAGTCTGCTTCTTCCTCTCCCTCTGCTGCTCCCCCGGCTCCTGCTCTCTGTTGTTATCCGTCTCTGTCTCTCAAATAAATAAAATCTTTTTAAAAAATGAAATAAAATAAAATAAAACATGCATATATGTGTATGTAATATACGACACCTGTACACACGTGTTTGTACGCAGTGCTTATAATACCGAGGAATAAATCTAACAAAGCAAGTATAATACTGGAAACAGCCAGAAAACCAGAAAACATTAATAAGTTACACCTAAACAGACGGACCTGTGTTCATAAATTGGAAGAATCAATATTTATAAAGCTGTCCCGTCTCCTCAAACTAATCTATACACTCCATGTAACTGCAAGCAAAATGCCAAGTTTGTCCCCAGTACATGACAAACTGATGATAAAATGTGTCCCGAAGTGCAAAGGGCCAAGAAGAGTCAAGACCTTCGGGAAGGGGGCGCCCGGGGCGCTCAGTCGGTGAAGTGTCCCGACTCTTGAGCTCACGCCTCGATTTCGGGGTCGTGAGTTCAAGTCCCACATTGGGCTCCACGCTGGGCATGGGCCCTGCTTTAAAAAAATAAATAAAATAAATATTTTTTTTAAAAAAAGGCTTCGTGAAGTAAAACAGGATGACAAAAATTTTTTTAAAGATTTTATTTATTCATGAGAGACACAGAGAGAGGCAGAGACACAGGCGGAAGGAGAAGCAGGCCCCATGCAGGGAGCCTGACGTGGGACTCGATCCCAGGATCACGCCCTGAGCTGAAGGCTCAACTGCTGAGCCACCCAGGTGTCCCAAAACAGGGCGACACACTGACCGACCGCGGGTGCAGACCTATTGTGAGGCTGCAGGAGTTCCAGCGCGTGCGTTCACGGAGGCGGGCAGAGGGCCGCGGGCCGCAGCAGAGCGGCAGACACCTGCCAGGCACAGAGCGCGCCGTCCGTGGCAGGTGCCACCTTGCAGCAGTGGGGCTGGCGGTCTTCCCACAGATGGTGCCGGGACAGTGGTCGTCCACATGGGCACGAAGAGCCACAACTCAGACACCCGAGCGCTGTGGGAGCGAACGATGCTCTAAACTAACAATAGGTATGTTTAGGAAGGTGAGAGCAATGTCACGGGACGGGTCAGTAAGGAAGAAAGCCCTGAGAGACTCATCTAGAGAGAAAAATCTTTTTTTTATTTTATTTATTTATGATAGGCACACAGAGAGAGAATGGCAGAGACACAGGCAGAGGGAGAAGCAGGCTCCATGCACCGGGAGCCCGATGTGGGATTCGATCCCGGGTCTCCAGGATCGCGCCCTGGGCCAAAGGCAGGCGCCAAACCGCTGCGCCACCCAGGGATCCCGTAGAGAGAAAAATCCTTGTGACTTTGGAGTTGGAAAAAAAGCTTAAATGGGCCACAAACAGCAGTGGCCATAAAAAAGAAAAGAGTGATCCACTGGATTATGTAAGTCTTGGCTTCTTTTTTTTTTCTTTTTAATTTAATTTAAATCCAATTTGCCAACATATAGTATAACCCAGACTCAGCTTCTGCTGATCAAGAGACATCACTGAGGGACGCCCGGATGGCTCAGCGGTGGAGTGTCCCCCTTCAGCTCAGGGCATGATCCCGGGGTCCCAGGTTCGAGTTCCGCATCGGGCTCCCTGCATGGAGCCTGCTTCTCCCTCTGCCTGCATCTCTCATGAATAAATAAATTTTTAAAAAAAGAGAGAGAGAGGAGAGAGAGAGAGCCATCACCGAGAGTGTGCGAAGGCAAATCACAGACAGGGAGGCACTTCCTTTTTTTTTTTTTAATTTTTTTTTTATTTATTTATGAAAGTCACAGAGAGAGAGAGAGAGAGAGAGAGAGAGAGGCAGAGACACAGGCAGAGGGAGAAGCAGGCTCCATGCAGGGAGCCCGATGTGGGATTCGATCCCGGGTTTCCAGGGAGGCGCTTCCTGCAGCTCCAACGACGGGCGGAGGACTCCCATCCAGAACGCACTAAGAACCTCTACATGTTGGTAAGAACCACAACACCCCGAGGGGAAACACGGGGGGAGATGCCAACAGGCACTTCCCAAAGGGGCAGCAACGAGGTGGCCAGCCCCTCTCGCCATCGGCAAGGGACGGCCGCGGGGCCGAGTGTGCGTGGAGGCGCTGAAGCCCCCCCGGCTCTGCCCTGCTGGCGGGGTGCGAGCCGGGGCACCAGCCTAGGAAACGGGCCTCGCCTCCTGCCACTGAGCACAGACACGCCCTGCGGCTGGAGGGTTGCACGGTGCGTGCCCGCGAGCAACAGATGGCCGGGGAAGCGTCACCTGGAACAGCTGCGACAGCCCCGCGGCCCCCGACACAGGGCAGAGCCAGGACGTCTGTACGATGGATTCCGGGCAGCAGTAAGAGCGGGCGGATGACAGCTTCGTGCAGCCAACCCGCGTGAGGTTCACGCATCCAAGGCCGGGGAAAGAAGCCAGACGCGAGCGAACGTAACGTATGACTTCATGAAGCCCCAAAACAAGGCGGAAGCAAGTTATCGCGTTGAGAGGTGCGGGCTTCGGGGTGAGCCATACGGAAGTTTGAAATCTATGATCTGAAACAGCTCGTGGGAAAAATAAGAGTGAAAGAAAACTTTCTAAAACTTTCTAAAACCGGGCAGCCCGGGTGGCTCAGCGATTTAGCGCCGCCTTTGGCCCAGGGCGTGATCCTGGAGACCCGGGATCGAGTCCCATGTCAGGTCCCTGCATGGAGCCTGCTTCTCCCTCTGCCTGTGTCTGTTTGTCTGTCTCTCTCTCTCTCTGCGTCTCGAATGAATGAATAAATAAAATCTTTAAAAAAAATAATAAAAATAAATAAATAAAAAATAAAAGTCACAAAACCAGGCAGCCCGGGTAGCCCAGCAGTTTAGGGCCACCTTCAGCCCGGGGCGTGATCCTGGAGACCCGGGATCGAGTCCTGCGTCGAGATCCCTGCCCCACAGGCTGCCCCTGGCGTGGGAGCAGAACAGTGGGACGGGAAGGACGTCCCCACACAGACGGGAGGGGACCGGCGGGCAGGAAGGGCCGTGTCCGAGTGAGCCGAGGCGGTGTTGGGAACTAGGTGGGCTCTGGCTGAGGGGACACGTGAATGCGAAAGAAATGTCGCAGACGGGGAAACGGAGGAGCCTGGGATGTAGGAGAGGCCGCGAGTCTCCAGGCGCTTCTCTCCAAGAAGCAACGAGATGATCGGTTTGGTGAGAACAAAATCCAAGGTCTCTGTTGAGCAAACAGGATGCCACGAGCAAGCGTGTGAGCAGGTGACAGGATGGAGAGGATACGATGAGTAAACCCAGCGAGAGACGCACAGTCCCCAACACAAGTGATGAAGGGATACGACCAGGCGGTCGCATCAGAGGGGCCCGAAGAGCTTAGCGAGCGCAGGTGACGACGGCGGCACCTGGTGCCCCTTGCACTGCAAACCTGTGGACGCCACACAAAGCTGGGGAGGGTCTCGGGGACAGGAGCGTCCCAGCCGGTGGGAGTGTGGGCTGGAAGCGAGCACAGCCAGGTGGAGGGTCGGTCGCCCCCGCGCCCGGTCCCCGGTCGGTCTGTGACGCCAGAGTCGGGGGGCGGCAGGGGAGTGAGCCTGAGGGACGTGGACACGCACCCACTGGACGGAAGCAGTGACGAGCTGGACACACAGCTCCAAGGACGGAGCCCTGAAAACCTAACACCAAGCGGAGGGGAGCAGAACGCAACACAAAACGTCACGCGCATTAGGGTCGTGCCGAGGCACCCGAGGGCGCCACGGCCAATTCTCAGGGGCACCACAAGGCGCTTTGAGCTTTTCCAGGACACAGGTACGCACGGCCCGCCGGGTGGCCCGCAGTCGGGGCGCTGCGCTGCCCTGCCGTCCCCTCCAGGGGTCTCTGCAAAGGGGGCTTTCCGGAGCTGCTGCCCCGACTGGGGGTCAAAGGCCACAGCAGGTGGCGGCCCAGAGGGCAGCGCAGTCTCGGGCGTGAGAAGGCGCGTGGGGCCTCACGGTGTCCGGCAGCCCACGAAAGTACGGTTATGTGAGAAAGACCGCTTTCAGGGGCGCCCGGGGGGCCCGGTGGGCGGAGCGTCTGCCGTCGGCTCAGGGTCCTGGGGTCAGCCCCACGGTCGGGCTCCCTGCTCGGCCCGGGCCTGCGTCCCCCTCCGCCTCTGCCCCTCGCCCTCCTCCTGCTCTCGTGCTCTCTCTCTCTCTGACAAATAAATAAAATATTTTTTTTAAAAAAAAAAGAACATTGTCGGGCAGCCCAGGTGGCTCAGCGGTTTAGCACCATCTTCAGCCCAGGGCGCAGTCCTGGAGACCCGGGCTCAAGTTCCGCATCGGGCTCCCTGCATGGAGCCTGCTTCTCCCTCCGCCTGTGTCTCTGCCTCTTTCTCTCTCTCTCTCTGTGTCTCTCATGAATAAATAAATAAAATCTTTAAAAAAAAAAAAGAACATTTTCAGTGGATGGGTACTTGGGTTTGTTTCTGGTTTTTGTTCTGAACTGCCAAGTTGTTAGGACCCAAATGCATATTCGTAAACGGAACTGTCAGAGGTTTCTTTTGAGCAGGGGGGTCCTGTGAAGAGCCCTGGGGGCAACGCGAGACCCCAGCACGGGACCCGGGGAGACCCGCCTGCCGCTGCTGAGCCCCCACCCGCCCCAGGAGAGCAGCCCCGTGCCCATGTGCTCCCTGCACCCGCTCACGTCCCAGGTCTGGGGACTGCACAGGTGTCTCCACCATGTCCACGTCTGGCCCACGGCGACCTAGACAGGCGGGGTCCCCCCAGAGGAGGGATTTTGGCACATCATCCGTAACACCCCACAGCTGGAAGAAGGACAAACACAGCGCCGTCTGTCCACAGATGGAACGGGACTCAGTCTCAGGGTAAGGGCAGAAGGCCCGACCCCTGCTCCCACAGGGGCGAGCCGTGAGGACCGGGCCCTGGGTGACCTCAGCCCGTCCCAGAAGGACAGAGCACGTGTGGTGCGCTCACCTGAGGAGCCTCATCCATGCAGCGGACGGGCCGGGGAGTGAGTGCGGACGGGGCCGGGGTTTCAGCTTGACGGGGTGAGAAGGTTCTGGATATCTGCTGCCCAACGGTGGGGAAGTACGTAACACCACTGACCCATACACCTAAAAATGGTTAAGGTCGGAAATTTAATGTTAGCCTTTTACCACCAAGAAATATAAATGGTCCCCAAAATGGGGGTGGGGGGGACCTTGGTGTTATAAAGAATCTGAGCAAACCAGAAGGAAACACAAGAGAGCCGTCAGCTCGCGTGCCCCAGAACCAAGACAGCCACAGAGCCCAGAGCCCGTATCCACCTGGACCCGCCTGGGCCCAGCCCCCCCACCACCACCTCCCGAGCCCAGCTCGGCTCCCCCGGGGGCACGGGGGTTTTCTGGAACAAAGGCATCGGCCAGCTCGGCGGGAGGGCCCAACGGGCCACGGGCGTGTGCAGCCCCTGCGCCCCGACCCTCCCGAGCGCTGTGCTGCCCCCACGCACACCCCGTTTCCGTGCGTGGACCCCTCGTGGCTCCGGGTCCCCCAGCCCGTCCTCGGCTCTGCCCACCACCCTGACACCTCGACCCGCCGCCCAGCCGCCCGGGGTATGACGGTTATCCTCCGGCGCTGGCAGCGTGCAGGCGCTGCGGGAACGCTGGGGGACGGCCAGCACAGCGGGAAGGGCCGGGGAGGTGGCCGGACACCCTGCGGGGGACGCGGCGGCCGGGGACACATGAGGGGAGCACCCGGGCCAGGTCACCAGCCGCGCCCCCCACCCAGGCTTCCATCCCGAGTGCATCGCGGCCCCAGAATGTGGACGTGACCGGCCTGCGGCCCCGCCAGCCGCGCCCCCAAGTGTGGGTCCAGCCAAGGTGGGCCAACGGCCCCAGAGGCCCTGAGCTGAAGGGAGAGGAAGCGGCCGGTGGGCGCGGAGGTCAGGGCCAGGACCCGGGAGCTGGGGCGGGGAAAGGTCGCCGTGGGCGCAGGACACAGACGCACCTGTGTGCACGGCTGCCCGCGGGCCCTGCTGGCGCCGTAGTTGGTAAAACACCCAAGAGGCCAGCACGGGTGCGGGCAAGGACGGCAGACGCGGGTCCTGGAGCCCGCGGGCCCGGGCCACCAAGGCCCCCACCCTGTGACGCCTGCGTGGCCTCCTCTGAGGTCTCCTCGTAGGTCCCCTCGTGACCTGTGTGTCCTTCCCTCACGGACCCAGGAGGCCTGGTCACAGCGGGGCCCGTGGCCACACTTACCGGCCGGCTGCCGTGCGGGTCCCCCCTCCTCCCAGCCCCGGGGGAAAGGCCTCCCCGGCCTGGGCTCCAGCCGCCCAGCCCTGCCCTGCGAGGGCCCTGCGCCCACCCGGCGGGCCGGTGCCACCTCCCACCTCTCCCGTCCAGGTCCCATGGTGACCCGCTTCCTCTTCCCGGCGGGGCCTCCCCAGGGTCCCACTCCCTTCTGTGTCCTCTACGCCAAGTCTCCGCAGGTCACAAGTGTCATGAAGGGATTCTAGGCTGCCTCATCCTCCCTTGTCCGTAAGATGGAGTCTTCAGAGAAGCAGGCTTCTGGCGTCGGTGGCGGCCAGTGGAGCGTGGTGTCCTTGCCCCGCTGAGCCACCCTCGGACACCTGCCTGCCCAGAGCAGCCCCCGCTGCCCCTCGCTGGCCGGGCCGGCCCATAGCGTGCACATGAGCTCCGCCGGCCAGCGCCTGCACCTGGCGCCTCGGGGGTGGGGGGCCCGGCCTCCACCTGTGGGCCGGTCGTGTCATGTGCATCTCAGGACTGTCACCGACCAGCCTGGGGCTGCAGGGGAGGCAGAGGAGCGTCACAGAGGCCGCCCGTGGGAGATGGACCTCGCCGACGGCCCCGCGCCCCCTGCCCACCTACGGCCGAGCCGCCGGGCCGCGCTTCCCCAGCCACCAGGTGCGTGCTTACGGCGGCACCCGTCGGAGCCCAGCAGAGCGCACCTGCTCCCGGGGCAGCTTCCCCCGGACTTGGCCGCCGGGGCCGTCCCTCCCCGAGTAGCTCTCACAGACGCCACAGACACACTCGGGGTTTTCAGTGGGGCTGTATTGGACCTACAGACCGGTCTGAGAAGTGACAGCTCCGTAAGACCGAGCTTCCTTGGGCCTGTAAAAGCCAAGCGTCGGGGGCCAGGGGCGGCCTGGCTCGGACGCGGTCCTCCAAGGCGGGCAGTTCTGAGTGGACTCGTTTCCGAGACGCGAAGGGTCCCACCCGGTGGTCGTGATGGCTGAGGGCAGGGCAGGCGGAGGGTCGAGGCCCGTGTGCCTGGCCTACAGCCGGAGCCCCGAGGAGGAGCGGGGGGGCCTGTGGCTGGAGGGAGGGACCCCGGGCCAGGAAGCTGGGGCGCAGGCCCAGAGGCTCTCCTGAAGGGGGAACCTGCCGGCCACTGCCTGGTCCGGCCCATGCTCCTGACCAGTCTGCCTGGTGTGACAGCGCAGAGGGAGCCCCGGCATGTCCCTCAGGATGGGGGTGGGGACCAGGCTGGCCCAGCCCGGCGCCCCAAGTGTGAGCCGCTGCTCCAGCACACCCTCAGCAGCAGGAAAAGCCGAGGATGTTCTGCTGGGGACTCAGGCTCTGGAAGTGTCCCCGGGCCTGAACCGGCTGGCAGCAGCAGGCTGGGGTTCAGCTGCCCCGGGCCAAGGGGAGCCTGGCGGGAGGCAGGACGAGGCCGTCTGCGCCTGCTGGGTGAGGGGTGCCGACAGGCTGAGGCCCCTGCGATGGAGGGGGCCTGTTCCGGCGCGCTGGGGGCACGTCCCCCAGACACAGATGGCTCTTTGTCAGGGCCGAGCCCAGCTCCCCCATCGGACTCACGAACAAAGCCCCCTCTGTCCACGGTGGCCTCCCCCTCACCCCCAGCACCGCCCCCAGGAAAGGAACAGAGCCCCCACCCCAGGCTCCCAGCCAGCGCCCCTGCCCAACACACGCACACACCAGGCCCAACGAGGCGGGGCACGCGGTGGGGGCCCGGATGCAGTGCGTGAGGGGCACCAGCGACCCTGATGCCTGACACCCAGGGGCCCCTTCCCCCAGGCCTGAGCAGACCCAGCCACACCCAGACGGCAACCTGGAAGGGGGCGGGGGGGGCGGGGGGGGCAGGACAGGGCCTCGCCCCTGCAGGGAGGCCTCTACAACCCAGTTGTGCGTACTCTCTTGGTCCTGAATGCCCACGGACACCTCGCTGGGCCTGTCGTCCTGCCCTGGTATCGCCAGCCAAGGGGCTGGGCTGTTCCCGGTGAGGTCAGCCACAGGCTCTGTGTCTGCCTCGTCCCCGGGTCCCGGCCCCCCTGGAGGCCTCCCCCTGGAGGAGCGCACACCCGCGGCCCCTCAATGACCAGGCGGCAGGATCCAGATGAGGCCGGGCAGGGCCGCCGCCAGCCGGGCCAGCTCCTGCCGACACTGGCTCCGCAGCTGGCGCAGCACCGCCTCCAGGCAGGCCTCCCGGCTGCGCAGCGCCCCAATCACCTCGGCAGCCCGCAGCCCCGGGCCCCCCGAGGCTCTGGCGTCACTCTTCACCAGCCGGCAGGGTCCGTGGGGCTGGGCCGGGGCCCCACCTTGCTCCCAGGCCCGCCGAAGTGCCGCCAGCTCCTGTCCCACGGCCTCCTGGGTGGCCCGCTGCAGAGCGCTCCACTCGGACCCCGAGCCTCCAACCTGCGTTGGGGACAAGGCGGCTCGTGAGCCAGGGGTGGCCGCCCGCTGGCCAGGACACAGGCTGCAGGCCCAGATCCCACTCCTCCCCGGGGAAGGGGCCAACCCCGGTGCTGGCTGTCCAGCCGTTACATCACCCTCCCCGAGCACCTGAGCCCTGAGCCAGCAGTGGGCCCGGGACAGGGCCAGCACCTGAGCACCCGGTGGCCTGCAGCACTGCCCAGCGGCAGGCGACCCAGCTCACCAGGTCCCCGGGGCCTGTTCAGAGCCGAGGGCCGACCCTCCAGCCACCTACCCCCACCCCCACCCACCGTGCCGGGGTCAGGCTCGGCCTCCCACACCCACTGCCTTCCCAGGGCTCCCAGGAGGGGGACAGCGCCTGCCCAGCACTGGTGCCCCAGGCGAGCCCAGCCCAGGGGCGGGGGAGTGAGAAGAGGCTGTGTCCCCAGTCGTGGCCCTGACCCTGGCCCTCAGCGGGCTCCGCTGCAGACAGCTTGGGAGAAACGCCTGCAAACATCAAACACGCTCCAGGGGTCACCACCACGGACGGGAGGGGCCGCAGGCTGCTGGGAACAGCCCCGCTTCACGGGGTCCTGAAGACTTTAGGGAAAACCCTGCCTGCAAGTTACTTCAAGATGCCTCAGAAAACACGAGGCAACCGGGGTGGCTCCCGGGGAGCAGGGCAGGGCACGGGCGGGGCTGGGGGGCCGGGAGGGGCTACGTGGGGACAGAGCGCAGTCCCTGCGTCAGCGCCCCCTCACCCTGGCCTCCCAGGCCGCCCGCCGGGGCTCCACGGCTCCCTGCAGCTCCTCGTGCAGGGCCTGCAGCTGCTGAGCCACCATCTCCAACTGGTCAGCCCCCGACTCGGGGATCCTGGGCAGAAACGGGGGCTGTGCGGCCTCCAGGGGGCAGGCCCCCAGGACAGTGTCCTGCAGAGAGAGACCCCACCCCGTAAGAGGCAGGCAGCGAGCCCAGGCCTCCTAACCACAGGCCCAGCCCCTCAGCCCATGGGGCCAGCGCCCACCGCCGAGGGTGGACAGCTACTTGTCACCCCAGCAGGCCAGAGGCCAGGGCAGGCTGGATACTGAGAAGTCGGGGCTCCCGGGGAGCTGGGCAGCAACGGGGACGGGACAGAGTCCTGGAGAGGGCCCCGGGTCTGAAGCTGGCTTCATGGCCGGTGTGTATGCGCCCCCCACCCCCGACGCCCCTTCCCGTCTGGGCAGTAGGGAGGTGCCCCCAGGGCTGCTGGCTGCGCTCAAGGCTGGGGGGGCCCCGTCGTACCATCCACTGCCAGAAGACCAGCTCCCGGCGCCGCCACGCCAGGGCAGCCTCCAGGCGCGCGTTCTCACTCTCCAGCCTCCGGAGCAGCTGCAAGGCAAACCACACACCGCGGCCAGGTCAGAGCCCCACCTGCCCTCCGGGGACCCCCAGCGCCGACGCCCGTCCCTCTGGCCCGCAAGCCCGTCACCGCCGCCACCTCCGGCCTGGCCATCTCCGGGCAGGCAAGGCAGGGCAGCCCCACCTCCAGACGCGACCGGGCCGACACGCCACGGTCCCCACGGAGTCAGGAGCAGACATCAAGCACCTTGGGCTCAGGACCTCTGCCCCACAACCCTCACTGGGGGCCGCAGCCCGAGACGGCGGGCAGGTGAGGGAGCCCAGAACGGGGAGCCTGCCGGGCTCTCGGGGGAGGGAACCCCTCCTGGGCAACCTGGGAACCCCAGCGGCAGGGAGTCCGGGTCGCACAGCCCCGAACCTGCGCCCGCCACACAAACAGGTGGACCCACAGACGGCCACGGGCCCCAGGGCTGCTGCCGCTCACGGAGTGCCTGCCCCGGCCTCGGCCTCCAGGAGCTTGGCGGGGGCCAGGAGCCCCACACTGGGGGGCCCACTGGTCACTGGGGCGGCACAGTCAGGCCTCCTCGAGCCCCGCCTGGGCCCCAGCACGCCCCGCCACCCCCACCAGGAAGCCACAGGCCTGCACCTGCTGTGGCTCCTCTCTGAACACAGCACACCCGCCGGGCGGCGCCCACGGCTCCTTCTAGAAGGCAGACCTGCCGGGCTTCCTGGGAACCCAGCGGCGCGCTGTGCAGCCAGGACGAGGGGCCAGAGCACAGCGGCCAGCGAAGAGCTCTGCGCGCCGCCGGCGGGAAGGGCCGGTGCACACGCCCTACACACCGGCCCGGGGGCCCGGGGCTCCCCGCCGGGAGGGGCCCCTGCTCTGCCCCCGCTCCGCAGCAGACGGCCAGCGGGCAACCAGGAGTCCACTTCCTACAGCCGGAACCTGGGGCTCCAGGGGCCAGATGGGGACAGCCTCGCGCCCTGCCCCTCCAGCGGGGGGGCCTAGCGGAGCACAGCCCGGAGGCTGAGAGGTGCTGGCCCCCCGCCTGCTGCCCACGTGCACGCAGGCGAGCTCAGTTCTGTGGTTTCCGAGAACAGTCCGCGGGGCCTCCCCACCTCCCAGGCTAGGGAAAGGGGGGCAGGCACAACAGGAAGGCGCAATGAGTCCCCGCTGCCCCCCACCTCCGGCCTGGTGCTGGAGTCCCCCGCCACCCCCGCAGCCCGCTGCCTGTGGCCAGGCACGGGGACGCGAGAGGGCTGCAGGCCCAGCCCGGAGCCAAGCACGCGTGCTGCCCAGCTGCTCCGCGGCATGCCTGGCCACCCACAGCAACCACAGATCTCTCCAGAAGCTTCTGGGACCCATCCCAGGAGTGCAGGTCCTTTGGGTACACTGGCCCAGGTTTCTGCCACTCGCCCTCCAGAGACCTGGGAAGGAAACTGATTGTGACCCCCATCCACCCCACGCCACCTGCGGTCCTGCAGCTGCAACACGCCCCAGCGTCAGACAGGAGGGGGGGCATGCAGGCCAGGGCCCCCAGGGGCAGGAGGCCCGGCCTCGCTGAGTCACCCGTAAAAGGACACCTCGGGTCGCCAAGATACTACGGCCTCTGCACGGCCAGGGACAAGTGCAGCCCTGCCTGAACGGGGCCAGCCAGGTATTGGCCAGGGATGCGGGCCTGGCAGGCACCCCCAGGTGGCCACCCCAACCCCACTAAAGGGATGCAGGACCTTCTGGGAGCACGTGACTCCAAGCCTGGGATCTGCTGGGCCTGGAAAGAGCGGCCGCACCAGCCCTGAGCCTCAGCCCTCCTGCCTGGCCAAGTGCCCCCCAGGCTGCACGGTGCCAGCCTCACACTCTGGACGAGCCAGAGTCCAGCCCTCAAGTGACAGCCAGCCCTGGGCCTGGCCCAGGACACCCTGGCCGTGCCAGCCCAAGGGAAGGAAACAATCGTGACAGATCGGGGGCCACCGAAACGAAAGTCAGCAAAGTCGGGCCATGCTAGACCAGCCCTCTGCCCACCACCTCATCGCCAGATGACCCCTGCTCGGGCTCCAGGCACCCCCATCGTGACCTTGACCCTCAAGCAGTCTTCCTTAATTCCAAAGGGCACCCTCCCCCAGCTGCCAGTCCAGCCTAGACACCTGTGCCCCTGGGGCCCTAACCATGCCCAGCCACAGGCACACACAACAGCCGGTCTGCATCCTGGTCTAGGGCGCCAGGGGAGGCCCTCAGGAGGTGCCTGTCCCCCACATCAGCAAGATGGTGAGTTGGGCAATCACCCAGAGATCAAAGCGGGTCGGCTGGGTCCTCCTTCGCAGCCCCCTGCCCACCTCAACCCCACTACCTCTGGTCTCTGCAGTCCTATGGCACCAATAGACACCTGGCTCAGACAGGAGGGGGACCCACACCAGCCCTCACCTGCTGGCCTCCCTCCGGGTCCCTGAGCATCTCGGTCTCAGCAACAGACAGGTGGCCGAGGCTTCGGTCACTGTGGCAGCCACGGGTATACGAGTGGATCTGAAACAGGCAGTGCCAACCCCAGGCTGAGCAGGAGGGAGCAAGGAAACGGGTCTCGCCTTGCCAAGGTGGTCCAGGGCAGGCCAGGGTCAGGCTCAGAGAGCAGTCAGCACTGTGGGGGTGCTGGCCCAGGGCCCTCCCGGAGACCCCTGCAGTGGGAGGGGCGCTGGACAGTCCCCCCTGTAGCCTCCCGGTCCCACCCAGTTCCCAGGGGCATGGTGGGAATCGAATGGGGCACCCCTGCTTCTCCCTAAGTTCACTGAGTGCCAGGTCTACGTGGGGGGAGAAACAGCCTCTGGACAGGCTACATGGTCCGGTGGAGCCAACAGCAGGGACACAGAGTGACCATTTGGGTCTGGGAGGCAGGGAAGCTTCTCGGAAGGTGAGGCCTGAAGGCATCACGGAGGTTAATGAGTGGCCATGGCCCACGCAGGAGGAGCAACTGGAGCCCAGGCCAAGCAAGAGACAGGTTCTAAGAAGGGCTGAGGGAGCAAAAGGCTCTCTGCAGGGGTCCAGGGTGCAGGGGCACAGGAGTGCAGGGATATAGGGGTTTAAGGGTGCAGGGGTGCAGGGTGCATGCATACAGAGATACAGGGGTACAGGGGTGCAGGGATACAGGGGTGCAGGGATGCTGGGTGGCGGGGCCCACACTGGTGGGAGTGGGAGTCTGAGCATCCCTGCCCAGTGGCCTCTGAGCCTAGCTGCAGTGGGCCTGTAAGGGTGACCTGTGCCCCCACCGCGGAGCCTTACCAGCCTCCAGGAACCCTACAGAAGCTGCCCACTGCCCACGAGCACCCAGGATGTGCTAGGAGGGGGTACCTTCCTCCCGGAAAAACACCCAGGCAGCCGCGGCTCCCCCAGGGCCCAGAGATCATTCTGCTCAGAGACGGAGCCTGAGGCCCCTGACGACTTCCAGGAACAGGCTCCCTGCCCCATGGCTCCCTGTCCCAGCGATGCCCAGGTCCACCTGCCCTGGACTCCCCCGGACCACCTGGAGCCCGGGGCTCAGGATCCGGGCCACTGCAGGGCACACCCGGGCTCCTGGATGGACAGGCCTCGGGCAGAGAGGCCGCGGGCCCCGGGGCCAACCCTCAAGCCCCAGTACCTTGGCCAGGAGGGCACACTGCTCCTGCTGACTGGTCATCAGGTTTCGCCACTGCAACCGCAGCTTTCCCATCAACCACTGCAAGTGGCGTATGTCCACAGGGCCATCTGCACCCCCGCAGGCTGCCGGCGGGCCAGGACTGGCCGGGGCTTCGCACTGGGGAGGGAACGGGGGTCACGCCCTGCTCCCCCACCCCCTGCGGACACCCCGAGGGAGAAAGAGAAAAGACGCCCCCCCCACCCCGAGTGAAAGCCGTGGGCCCCCGGGGCTGCCCGGAAAGGGGGAGGGCAGGAGGCCGGCGCAGGGGTGGCCCCGCCGACCCCCAGGGCGGCCCCGAGGGCTGGCCCAGGCGACCCGATGCGACCCGATGCCCGCTCACCCCACACGCACCTGGCACAGGGCTACCTCGTCGCCCAGCCGCACGCGTGTCCGGCCCAGCAGCCGCTCGAGCAGGGGCCCGCGGGCCAGGAGCCAGGCGAGGGCCAGCAGGAGCTCGCGGCTGCCCCGGGCGCCGTCCTCGGGGAGCTGTGCCAGCGCCCGCCGGGGGTAGCCCTGGGAGCGCAGCGCCCTCTTCACCAGGCGGACTTGGGCCTCTGGGAAGGGGCCCGGCTGCTCAGGGGGCGCCCAGTGGGCACCACCCCGCCCGGGCCTCCGGGGGCCCCGCACGGCCACCAAGCAGAGGCCAGGGTGGCAGGGGACTGGGGGCGGGGGAGAGGGGCGCCAGGGCTCGGGGGCGGGGCTCACGAGGGGGCGGGGCTTTGCCGAAGCGGGGGGGGCCAGAGCTGGGGTGGGCGGGGCTATGGCCGCGGGGCGGGGCTTACTGAGGGGGCGGGGCCACAGGAGCCGGAGGCCCCCGCGGGGAGTGGGCAGGGCCAGGGCTGCGGGGCGTGGCCTCGTGCGGGGGCGGGGCTTGCGGGAGGAGGGGCTTGTGGTGGGCGGGGCTTACCCAGGGCCGGAGGCGCCGGCGGGGCCCGGGGCGCAGGCGCGCAGTCGCCCGGCAGCGGCGAGAGCGCGAGGAAGAGCGTCCGCCAGAGCGGCGGGGCCTGCGCGATCAGAGGGCGGCGGTCAGCGTGGCCGCCGCCGCCCCGCCGCCCCGCCCCCCCAGCCCGCCCCGCGGGCCTCACCGCCTCCGGACGGTCGAACTTGGCGCGGCGGAAGGTCTCGGGGCTGGGCCCGGCGGGCAGCGTCCGACTGAGCGCGGCGACGGCGTCCAGCAGGGCCCCGGCCGCGCCCGCCCGCTCCCGCTCCCGCTCCCGCTCCCGCTCCCGCTCCGCCCGGCGCCGCCGTCTCATGCCGCCCTCGGGGTCCCGGCGTCCGAGGCGGGCGGTGCGGCGCGGCCCGGGACACGCCCCCAGCGCCCGCGGCCCCCGGGCGGACGCGCTTCCTGCGCCGCAGCGGCCAATGCGCGTCGGCGGCTCCGCGGGGCCCGCCCCCTGCAGCCCGGAGGCGGCCTCGGCCCCGCCCCCCCCGCCGCCCGCCCCAAGCGGCGCCGGCAGGGCCCGCGCCCGGGAGCGCAGCGCGGCGGGGCCGGGCCCCGAGGCCCCCGAGGCCCCCGCGCACCCCGGCCGCCCTGCTCGCCCGCCCCTGCCCCTGCCCCTGCCCCTGCCCCTGCCCCTGCCCGGGTCCGGCCGTGCGCACCGACGCCCCGGCGCGGGGGGCAGCCGCGTCTCCGGCGTCTCGGACGGTGTCGCGGACGGCTGCGGAGCCCAGGCCTGGGGAGCCGGCGGGCTGCCTGCGGTGGCGTGGGCACGGGCGTGACCCCCCGCGCCCCGGAGGCCAGGCCCCGCTCCCGCCCCGCCCGCGCCCGCGCCCCCCTCCCGCTGGCCGCCCTGCCCACGCCGGGCGGGGGTGCAGCGCCCTGCGGCCGTCGGGACACGAGCACACCCTGGCCCCGCCGCGGCCCCGCGGCTCCTCTCTGCGCTTCCCGTGGGAGGCTCTTCCCCCCCACCCGTGTCCTGCGCTGCTGGGCCGCCCTCTGGCCACAGGCGTGGAGGCTCAGCCCTCATCCTGCATCCGCCCCACCTGGCTGTGAGCCCCTGAACCCGCAGGAGGCGGGAGCTCCCGCTGAGTCTCCAAGTCCCCCCGCCCCCGGCCCCTGCCCCCGCTGTCCCCTGAGAAACCCTGCCTCGCCTTAGCACCGTCTGTTCCCTCCGCCCCGTCCCCCCAGACGTGCTCTGGCTCCACCCCGTAGGCTCTGTGAGCCACCCTACAGCTGGCCCTTGAAACCTCCCGACACTGTCCAGCTGAGGCCTCCACGGCCACCAGCAAAACCCTGGGGAAGGGCCGAGGCCGGAGTCCGAGTGGCTGGGAGGGGGCGGGGAATGGGGAAGCTGCAGTGTGGCTCAGCCTGCAGGTGCCCCCAGAACTGACAGGGGAGTTTCCAGAAACCCCCCAACTACGCACTGCCCAGCCAGTCCTCAAATTCCCCATCTGGTGGCTGGCGGCCGCTTGGGCCTCGGAGTGGAGGGCTGTGGGGGAGAGCGGTGATGGTGTCCAGGCGATACCCCCGCGGGAACGTGGCCCGCCTGGCACACGGGGCGGGTGGGTAATGGGGACAGGGTGCGGCAGGAAGCGGGGAGAGCACGCAGGGACTCCCCAGCCCAACTCCCCCAGAGCTTCTCAAAAACCGGAACTGTGTGAGCACAGCAGATGCACCCTGTGGCCACCGCCCACCGGCTGGAGGCCTCATGTTGCCACTGAAGTGTGGGCGCTCCCTCGGCCCCATCCCAGAACCTCTGCGGGTCCGGGCGCTGGACGGCCGAGCCGCCGTGGGGCCTTCCAGGGTACACAGCCGCCTGCCCCGTGGAGGAGGCTTCGGCCTGCGGCGGTCCCCAGCACAGCAGCCACCAGGGCAGGGGGCAGCAAGGCTGGCCGCAGCAGGAAGAGCTAGTGTCCCTGGCAGGGTCTGGGGTCACAGGGGCCAGCTGCAGCCTCCCCCACACACACGCCTCCTCAGCACACACAGGCGGGGCTTCTGAGCGTTCAGCTTTATTGAGGGCACGAGAGTCTACAGGGGAGCCCCGGGTGCCAGGGTATGAGGCCTGCCATCGGCCTGGAAGGGTGTGGCCCGGTGGGCAGCGGGGATGGCTTTTCATGACCTGTGCAGAGAGACACGGAGACAGGTGAGAGCGGGCCCAGCGAGCCTCGGAGCTCGCTTAGGAGTGGGGGCCGCATCCCGAAGGCTGGGGGACGTGGGGGTGTACCTGGGTTTACCTGAAAGTGTGACTCTCGGCTCCGCCCCGCCCAAAGCCTGCAGAAAAAAAGAGTAGGCAGGTTAGGGGGAGCCAGGCTGGGGGGCAGGGCAGGGGCCCCGGGAAGCGTACCTTTAGGCCCGAACATGGCAGAGTAGCAGGGGTGGTTGCAGTAGGGCTTGCCTTCATGCTGCAAAGAGAAGGGCCGTGAGGGGCTGTGGGCCCTCGCCAAGCCCTGAGCCCCTGCCGCCCTGCGCGCCCACCTGCGCGCCCACCTACCTCGGCGTGGCCCCCTGACGTCAGCGTCTTTCCACATTTCTCACACTTCAGGCAAGGCCGATGCCAGTCCTTCCCCAGAGAGGTCACCCGCTCAGCTGCAGAGGCACAGAGACCCCCCAGGGTGAGACCCTGCTGCGGGGTCACAGGGCACACCAGCCTCCTCCACCTGCCCCTGCTCCCACCCACGCCCGCCCAGGGTCCCAGCTGGCCCTTGCGCCCCGGAGTAGGGAGGGGCACCTCCAGTCCCCAGGGCAAACTAAGAGGGGGCGCTGGGGGGCCAGGGCGGGGGCCCTGGCTGGGCTGCAGGCCGGAGGGGTGGGGCCTGCGGGGCGCCCTTCTCTGGGGCGGAGGCGGGGAAGACACTTCCCACTTCCTCCCTCCGGGGCCGGCCCCGGGGCGCGGGGCGCGCGGGGCGGGGAAGCGGCACCCAGGATCGCGCCCCGAGCGCCGGTTTCCGCGTCTGCTTCTACTTAGCGATGGGAGGGGCGGCTCGAGCGCGGTCCCCACCCAGGGCGCGCCGCGGGGGGACGGCAGGGAACGGGGTGACCGGGGCCAGGGAGGAGCAGCAGGACCGAGGGGGGACACAGCGGGGCGGGGGCAGAGGGCTCCGACGCCGGGTCCCCCGGCACAGCCCGGCGGCTCGCGGCCCCAGGGTCCCGGGCGCGCCCGCCCTCCAGGGAGACCCGCCCGCATGGCCCTGGAGGGGCCCGGGCTGGCAGGGGCGGGGGGCGCTCACCGAAGTACACCTCCTTGTCGCACTTGGGGCACTTAGGCATAGCGGCTCGGGTCCGGCGCGCACGACAGGGCAGGAGCGGACGGGAGAGCGGGACTGGGTGGGTGCGGCCGGGTGCGCGCCTTTCAGCGTCCCCGGGACCCCGCCCCTTCGAGACCCGCCCCCTCGCGCCCCGCCCCCGAGTCGAGGACCTGGACCCGAGCGCCTGGTTCCAGGCCAAGCAGCTAGGAAAGGTCATCGGTCCACCCCCGCCTCCGGGCAGCACCCGGGCCAGCCGACGGGGGGCGGGGGGGCGCGCGGGGGTCCTTGGGGACGCACCGAGGGGGCGGCCCCTCCGGGGGCTGCAGGGGTCTAGGGAGAGGGCTCCCCAGGTCGGGAAGGCGCTCCCAGCCCGAGCCCCCGGATGCTTGGGAGCCAGGGAGGGGCCGAGTCACCGCTAAAATGCAAATCCCTGCAAACCGGCGTGGGCCCGCTCCTCCGCACCGCACCGACCGTGTCCCCGCAGAGGGTCGGGGACAAGCTGCCGCTCCAAGACCTCCCCTCCGGCCTCCTCACTCCCGGAGCCTGGACACCCCCCCCCAGCCCCGCCGCTGCCGGCGAGACCACAGGACAGCAGCCCGGGGGACCTGGACGAGGGGGCTCCAAGACGGGGCGTCCCCTGCGTCGGTGTCACCGCGATCTGTCCGCCGGGCTTTGTCGGGGAAGGCGCCACCGGCCGCGCCCAGGGCATCTCGTCCAGGGAGGGGCTCCTTATCTCTGTGGGAAGCGCACGAGTGGGCACGGCGGGGGCAGTGCAGGGCCCCGCCCAGGGAAAGTGGGGGCTGGCGCCCGGTGGAGACGGCGGCCTCCAGCACCCAGGGTGGGAGCGCCCAGGGGCGCGGGCTCCTGTCCACCTTGCAGCCCGGCCTGGGCGGGGGCCTGGCCTGCGGGGAATCCCTGCCCTGTCCTCCCTCCGGGTCACTGGCAGCCTCTCCACCTCCCTCTGTAGCTGCTGGGGAGCGGCGCCCTCCCTCCGGGGCTCTGCGGACCCTTCACCTCCGGCCGCAGCAGCACCATCCGGGGCTTCGGGCTCACTCTCTGCCCGGACCCCAGCCAGTCTGCCCCTCCTGCCTTCCTCCACGGGTCCCTCCCTCTGGCTACCCTGGACACACCCGTCTCTCAAAACAAAACAGGCCCTGGGCCTCTCCAGGCCGCATCTTCATGGAAGGTGCTGGAGACCATCCTCTAACGGGACCCAGGGGCGCCTGCCTCCCCACAGAGCACACGGTGACTGCGGCTTTGCCCACTGACCCACCATAGGCCCCTTGCCTGTCGCTGGGGGACGGGAGGGAAACCATGGGTGCCCCCACCCCCGGCCCCCACCCGCCTGGCCTCTGCCCCCCCAAGCCTGGCTTGGGGTGGGGGTGGCAGCTCCTGTGGTTCAAGGGCCACGGAGACCACCTCCAGGGCCAGCCCCCCATGAGGATGGCGCCCTAGACCCCACACCCTCACTTCCTGCTCCTCACGCTGCCCTCTACTCACCCCCAGCTCCACCCCACCGCCCCCGACTCCCTTCCTGAAGCCACAGCTGGACTCTGCACGCCTGGCACCACATCCGGGAACCGCTCAGTGGCTGGCTGGCTGTCGCCCGCAGGAGCTGGGGTGCACACCACACACTGGCGGAGCCCCCAGACTCCCACCCGTGGACACTGCCCCTGTGCCCGGCGCTGGGGCACCTCGGCACGGTTTCTGCAGGTAAGTAAGCCCACCAGCCCGCCCTCCCCCACGGCCCCACCTGTCCCTTGGTGTCTCCCCGGCCTGGCCTGTTGCTGCTGCAGACAGGCAGGGTGACGGGGTGGGGGTGTGGGGGGCTGACTTCCCCGTCTCCCGGCTCCAGGAGCTGGAGAGAGGCCGAGACGGGGAAGAGCAGGACGTGGAGGGCGGGAAGATGGACGCTCAGACACAGCAGAGGACAGCAGTGTAGACATGGGGGTGCAGCATCGGGGCAGGGGCTGCAGCAGAAGGGCCCTAGGCCCCAGACCACTGCTGACACGGTGTGGGGGGTTCTCTCATAGTGGATCACGGGGCTCCAGCCACGTGCGTACTCCCACTCATGTCACGTGTACCCCCTTGCAGCTTCCTGAGAGGGCTGCCCTGCACGGGGATGCTGGCTGCAGGCCTGGGGCTCCAGGGCA